CGCTCTTTTGTTCGTGGGATGCGCAAATGCCGACACAGTCTTTCCTGGCCTAGCAAGGAACTACAAACTTCCTGGAGGCGATTGGGGCGGCGGTGGGCTCAAAAGAAATCCTACGGCTAACCCACCTGGATCTAGCTCTAGGCTCTGGGCAGAGCCGGAGCCACAAGCTGCAACTATACTATACAAATGCTACGCTTAAGGTGCTGCGCTTCGCTCCGCACTGTCCAGCGTTTTTGCTGTTGTTGCTTTTGTTGTTTTGTTGGTGTTGGATCTCTTCTGGGATCTGAGAATTTGCTGCTTTTTTGGTCTTGGTTTTTTGGCTACGTTTTGTTATGCTGGACATTGTTTTTTTGGTTTTGGGTATCCTATGGGATTTCGGGTCCTTGGTTTTGGATATGTTGCTTCTCTTGCTTGAAAACTGCACATCTCCTCTGGAATGTTGGTTGCACTGGTTCTTGTTGTGGTTTCCTTGGTTTGGGTTTCCTCTTGACTTTTGGGTTTTCGGCAATGGCACGGAACGGGGCCGTCGCAGACCTTTAGTTGTAATATGATACGCATAATACTAATATTAGCAACCCTTTTTCGCCATTGGTTTCGATAGTTTGCAAACACGAAAAACGAAAGTGCGAAATTATCTGAAACGAAAGCAATCGAGCGAACGAAACTGTGCCTATGAAGGAGTGGAGCGAACGGATTGGTTCTGCTTCGGTTCATCAATACAAGGAAACGAACTGCAAGCATGGTTTCACTAAGCGACAGAAACAAGGAGCCACACTCTAACACCTAGCTCCTGCTGTCGGCTTAAAGCGGTCGCTTGAGGCTCAAAATTGAAATCGGGAAGGGGTCCCGAAAAGGGCCTGTCTACGCAGCAGTTATGTTAAAAGGTACCTTTTTCGACTTGGGCGGCCTCCACGTATGTAGAGCTCCAGTCAGCTATTGATTTCAAGACTCGACCCTCTGTTCATGCGTGAGTAGCACGCCGGGTGTGGAGATCTTTTTCTTGGTATGGCTCCTGGAGGTTGAAGCATACTTCTCGTCAGAAGGCGAAGGGTGCGCAGAACGCTTGCCCAAATCCGTTAGCATCCGTTGGCCAGACTGTCTGTTCAGCTGGCGCAAGTCCCCAAGTGGTGTCGAGGAGATGTTAAACCAATGGCTACTCCACACCTGACTTGGTACCGGGGCGTGCATCAAAAACCGAAGCCATGCATGCCACGCCATGCGGCCTGCCCAGGGAGGGCGTCATGTCCACGAAGCACTCGCCACCTGGTAAAGACCGCTTCGGGCCTATACAGTATCTTGCGGGACCGACTAGTTCACGGGATCTGCACACACCTGTCGGGGATTTGCTGCGATCCCACAAAACCGCAAACCACCTGGGCTGCCACTCTCCCGGTCGCCGTGGTAGGCAGGCGACCTGCACCAAGATAGCATAGAGGAAGTACTCGGGAGGATGATCATCTGACCCGTTGTTGGAACCATCAGATCGTCAAGAAGTCAGCAGGCCGTTATTGATTGTGAGCATCGGATTTCCTATCACGACCTCAAACATGCTCTTCTACAAACTGCAGCAACCGCCGTCTCCAGCCTCTCTAGACACAGGCACCCTCGGCTGTGCGGCAATTCGTTCATCTTCACGCGTGGCCAATGCCAGACAGAGCCTGAATCTCTGGCGAGGGCTCATCAAGCGAAACGCTCCTCGAACGTGACCCGAACCCTGGAGAAATCACCAGCGAGCTGGCATGGCCATTGGCAGAATATGCCCTCACACGGTGCCAGTTCGCAATAGTTCGCACCGTTACGAATCTCGATGAATCTCGTGAAAGTGCAACCAGGGCACCTAATGCGCAGCTCACCCTCTACGTCCAGAGGGAGGCACTCTGGAAGAACAGGGCACGATGACGTGCGATTTTGAGAAAGTGCGACTCTGCGCCGTCCTGCAGCACAACTTGACAACTTGCGACCCGAACCGGAGCTCAGTGTTTTTATAGAGTCCGTGAACCAACTCTACTGTGCCTCGCGGTGCGAAGCGTTGCGCTCTGCAGGGTCCCGCAGCGCAATGATGCCAGCCCCGCAAGAAATGGACGTTCGCAGAGACCATGCAGACATGGAGCGAATTGAAACTACTTTTGTTCAGCCTTGCATGCACACATGGAGAGACACGCACTTGTGGTTCAGAGCGGCTCCAATTCTGTGTAACGGTGCGTGCATGGGCTTTGAGGGCTCCAAGCAATGACGTGAAGCTCTTGTTACAATCTCGGACCATCTGACGATCACTGCGCGAGAAGTCGTACCTGCTATCCAAACCCCCACTGACCTGAGGCTGGTGCGAATGTTCTGAAACTCGCCAGCAGTGGGCAGCTCCATCTGATGCATCAAGGCATCTTCACAAAACGGCATGCCTGAAAGCCACGAGGAGGCACAATTTGCGCAGAAGCCTGAGTAGCTGCTTGGGCCGCTTGGTCAGCCAAGTGTTCTGCAAGCTGTCGCAGACCCGCGCCTGAGGGCGGCAACAGACTTCCGGCAATTTCGCGATGGCTCTACATAAACCCATCTTTTGCTGGCCCGTGAGGCTGCTACAAGCTGTGTGATGGACGCTGGCCTGAGCGCACGCGGCGATAAGATTCCAAGAAACCGAAGGATGCCTTGGGCCACCCCGAAAACAAAGGAGCTGGCATTCGAGGAGTTGTGCAAGCTGTACAGCAACCTCAGCACAGGAATACAAGTCATGTGCTTGGCAGTGCGCAGCTGCTTCAATCCCTGGCAGTAGCCAACAAAAGCCAAAACGCTGCATCAACTGCTCCACCACCGTCTCGTTCAAAAGCTTGATGTGAGACCTTCCCGGGAAACCCTGTGCTCCCCATCAGTGTCTATTGCATGCACTTGGCACAATACATACAGCCACTACCGCACGCTGGGTCAACGACGGCGTTGCCATGATTGTTTGTAAAACCTTGAGCTGCACCTCCACAAGCAGTGGTCCGTTGAAGCTAGGTGTTTGCTGTGCTCCAACCTGATAGGACACTTGAGGGATCCGGAATTAAGGTGCGCACTGTCTCATCGCCATTCGCTGCCTCGTGCACGAAAATAACTGACACATTGGCCTATTCCCCCCTGGCCTCTCCCAGCTTCCGCACACAGCGACAAGTTACTTGTGTAGTGAGTCACCACCCCGGCCCCTCCACTGGTGATGCACTCTTGATCCCTTCCGGCCTGTTCCTTCATGAGATTTACCACAATAGCAACCGTCTCCTCTTTCAGCGCTTCTCGATGGATCAGCCTAGCCCAGCTTTGAAGTTTGGAGGAATCGGCACCACAAGAAATGCATGCTTGTCCTAACTGGTCACGTGCCTCTGCAAACAAGAGAGCGAAATCATCACGATCTTGTTGTGAAACGTTTCGCAGGCCTTAGTCGAGTCTCTCAGTCAACGTCGCTTTCACTTCGTGCTACAAGATGCCGCTCAGCTTGGAGCCATGAGGATGGCTCGCAAGACCTCGTCCAAGGGGAAGTCGGACGTGCCCAAGCCAGAGCCTCAATCTCAAGCCCGAGAGCCCACAGTTGGCGCCATTCCGTGGACCCACCCCGCCCCCCCCCACCTGAGCCGTGCCCGTTTCTCGAGGCATCTTCTCTGTGATGCCGGATCTTCAAGATGGCTCTATCCGTGTACTCCTGGGAGCGCATGTTCTCTCGTTTTCTCGAAAAGCCTTCTGCGGGCGCAGGCCTTGATGATCGGATACTTCTTCCGGCATTCCTGGCCTCCGAGCCAGAAAAGATCGGCAGAACCTCTAACTGTGCACGGTGAGGACGAGACTCAGCTCTCTAAGCTCGGCTTCCACTTCCTGACCTTAAGGGCAGCGGGGATCGCCAGAGCTGCTGCCATCTGTACAGTAAGGCCTGGACAAACCTGCATCTGGAGTGCATCGAGGCACCGGTCACACCCGTGTACTCGCCAGTCTCAGCCTTCCGCTGGCAAGCCCAGAGCGTGCGAGATCTCCAGCAGACACTGAGATCCGGGAGGCACGCCGTCTGAAGGGACGGACCATTCCTCTTGAAGGCGTCGCGCATGAGACCGCTTCTGTTAAGCTACTCCGCTGGCTCCACTTGTCTAGGATTGGGAGCAGCTGCAACTTAGCGAAGTTTATCTATGGCATCTGCCGAGACAAAGCTCCAGCCACGTGAGTCAGCTTTGCTCTCGCATGCGAGTACGGCACAAGATCCGAACACACAGCGTAATCTGTGCAATTTTTACTGGGAGGACCAGACTTATGGCAGGATACATGTGCCCTCATTGCACTGAAAGCCGTACCGGCAAGCCAGGGAGAACTTGTTGCATCAATGCTGTCCCTTGTCTTCGTGTTGTGAGAAGCCTCCTTTTCGCTCCAGCTTGGCAAGCATCGCCTCTGGTCTCCTTCCTAATGCGATTGAAAAACGTTGCCCCACTTGGTGGCGCGGCACCCCGAAAGAATTCAAGGCTTACCTGCTTGCAAAGCATGGATTGGCTCTGTATTTTGCTTGGGTTCATCGTGCTTGCTGAAAGCTCGTGCAAGTCACGCAGGCATCCTTTAAGTTGCATTCTGGTTCGCATGCGCATGCTCCGGGGGTCGGAGTAAATGAACAATATGTTCCGTCCGCCGCCTGCCCCTGGAGCGGTCGGATGGACTGGTTCCTGAGCCAATGCGAGAGGCAGTGTGGGCGAGGCGCTCAGCCAACGTCTCGCAGCATGGACTCGTGCCGCCACGAGTCGCTTGGAAGCTATCGTAGATGTGGCCACCACTTGAAAGCCAACCTTCTCTGCAGCATCAACGGTGCAACGAAGGTTGTCAAAGGCACCTTAAGCCAACACACTCACGACACTTCTTCTTCACCAAAGACTCCGTGACTGGCAGTCAAATGGCGAGGTAATCATGTGCACTGCATTCACTACAGCAGCTGCATGTTGATGCCTTCATATGCCTTCTCTCTCCTTTGCTCTCGTCAGAGATGGCACAGAAACACTTGCGCAACTCAGGATGCAGCCGTCCTCGCTTGCATCTCTGTCACCATCGCCGATCATTAGAGAAGCGGTTCCTAGCCAGTCACCCCGAAAGATAACTAGCCTACAGCTTGGATGCTGAAGCGTGGCTGTGGGGAAATCCCTCGTCCTCCTGGCAGCAAAAGGCTCCAAGCAGCTTGGAGCCACTGCTCTTGCTCACGCTGCCATGATGCTGCAAACTCCTCCCGTCTCTCCCGTCCCAGGTGCACCGGTGCTCACTGACGCAAGCATTGATCCATGCCTCAAAGCTGTGCTTCTGCCACAGAGTTCGTCGTCCAATTTCTAGCCGTTTCTCCTCTGAGGTAAGCCTGCACCTTGAGGCAGAAAGACAAGAAAAATTCCCATGCACACGCACAGCTTTCTGCCTGGATCCCAAGATGGGCCATGCTGACTCTGCTGTCGTCAGGTAGTCGTAGACGCCAGGATATGGAGGACTGGTAATGATCGCATACACAGGCTTTGCCAAACGCAGGTCCTAGAATCAGGACTGAGGTGCTTGCAAATCAGTCTGTGCAGGCTACTGCCGGCCAAATCTAACGTCTTATGAAGCCCACAGCTCATCGCACAAGCCCCGCGAGCGGTCTATTTGTATTTTCATGGGTGTCCTGCCTAGGGTCTGTGAGTCCGACTGGAGATCTGGTCGTTTCTCCCGGTTTTGCTGTTAAATAGAGCAAAGGCTAGCAAAATCTGACATGCAGTGCCGAGCTGCTCTGAAGTCCCCTTGGATCACTTCCGCCCGTCTGCCACTGCACGCCCGCAACGACCGCAACCGTGCCATAACCAGTCGGGCTGTGCCCCGGAAACGCGGTGCCGCCTCCTTCAGCTGAACTTGCTGAAGCCTAAGGGCGAAAGCAATCAATCCCACTCGCCGAAGGCAAGCACCACATTTGCTCACGCAGCGGCTTCTGCCCAGCAACTTGTCCGAGGACTGCAAATACTTCTCGTCTTCAGATACTTGGGAAGCGACCAAGTATGTGAACTGCAAACCTCTTCGAATGGCCTTACTTGCCAGTGTAACCGTGTAACCTCACTTGACAGAGTATAACCGGAGCTGACGCATGTGTCGAGAACAAGAAGCAAAGCTTCAGACAGAATCGTCTAATGCCATGATGTTTGTCTGGAGCTGCTTCCATGGATCCCTCGGTTCAGCAGGACTCAGCGGCACACCGTGGACACCTACAGCACCAAGGTGAGCCACCGTGGGTGACAAAACAAGGCGCAAATCTCCGACATCCATGAGAACAAGCTGGCTTCTTCAGACTGGTCACGTGCTCAGGCTGATACCACGAACCACCTGCATCACCGCGGCATCAAAAGCCGCCAAATCCATGTCCTGGCAACGGGTGGCCAACCACATGCACCTTCAGAATAAGTTGCTGCATCATCGGAAAGCCAGCTGCGATGTCAGCCAGTCGTGCGACATGCACGGAAGCTTGCCAATGTTGAACTTGAGATAGCTCTCGGGTTCAGGTGGCAGCTTCAACAGATGGTCCTCCGTATCCACATGCTGCGAAGCAACGAAACTTGCCAGCGGCGACAGGTCCTGCGAACAAGTCTGGGTGGGCTGCTTGATGCTCCCGGTGCCAAAAGACTACCGATTTTGAGCTTCAGTCAGCAACTAGGCACAAAATGACACAGGTTCGGATCTCGCTTGGCAATTTGCTATGCAATGTTGTGCTGACTGTTCGAAAGTCTGCGCGTACCATGCTACAGTTTTATTCGATGACGTGTTCGCGGGCCTGTTGCTGTTGCAAACATTGTGTTGCTGATTACTTCCTGCTTCAGGCTTTTTGGGTCGGTCTGGCAGGCTTAGCAGTAAAACGGCTCTTGCTTTCTGCAGCTTTGTGGCGCAGCCGATTGCAGGTCTTCCCGAAGCGCAGGCTTCCTCAGCTGAATTGCTGCACATGCGGCAGAGGCTGTGCAAATTGTTTTCAGTCGAAACTCGATAAGGACTGTCCCAGAGCCACAAAACGGATCCAGGACAGAACCATGCTCCACCACAAGACTGAGCAACTCTCGAGCCGTCATCGCTTGCATTCCGGCCATGTACTTGTACCTGACATGCAGGAACGGAACGTACACGAAAATGTGCGTAACGAGACAGGGCACAGTCCGTGAGTGAGCTGGTCCTCCCCTGGAGGTAGAAGAGGATAGCCAAGGAGCCACTGGTGTTCCTGTTGCAGCATCTTCTGGTAGTTGTATGGACATGGCACGGCCAAGCGGTCGTGCACGACTGCAGAGACAAAATCAAGACAAGCAAAGCAGGCGGGGCTTCAGTGCTTATAATGGCCTCAGGTTCAGCTTCGTCATCCAACCACCGACTCCATCTGTATCAAAGCGGAACTCTGACAGAAGAACTTCAAACTTCGGACAGCCACACCTGCCCGAGTCGTTGCCCTACTCATTCTTTGGCCCCAGCAATCAGCCTGTTGCCTGACTGTAAACCCTCTGTAGCTGAACTGCCTACGCTTCTTGAAATCGTGCAGGCAGGCGTCCAGGGCTCGCTCTAGGCAAGCAGTGACCTCAGCGACTCAGCATGCCAGCTATGGCAAGTCCGAGGTCCCCAGCTCATGCTGTATCAGAGCAAAAACGAATTCAATGCTGACGATCTCTTCCTTGAGAACACAGGGCCACGAAAGTTGGTAAAGCTCGTGTGTTATCGCACACGCGCACGCGCTCGGCAAAGTGGACGCAAGCACACAGACGCACTCGCCCACGTAAAGACAGAGGCAAGTGCCGCGGTGCTTGAATCAGGAAGGTCGACACTCTAAACATGCGTAAACGACAGATGCACTTGCCCTGGTGCTTCATTCCCGCCAGGTCGACGCACTTGTCCTGCATAAACTGGGGGGGAGGGCCCACCTCCACCCAACCTTGCACAACGCCACAGACACCGCAGGACCAAATAAGCTCCCAAACACGATTTTGACTTGGGTCACTGCTGAGTTAGTTAGTTGAGTTCAATCAAACAGGCAAAGCATGTCAAACCACAAAGACAAAAAGAACCACCAAATGCTCCGACGTGACCAACTGACGAACAAGCACAACCCTGAGGCTCCGAGGACTCTGCATCCGCTGGACCGACAGAGCGCAATTCAAAAGGCTCCGTGTCCGTGCTGTCAATGTGACCACGCCTCGGCAAGCACAGAATGGATGCTCCGAAGGCAGCCAAGCCGGCTCAGGCCCATGCCACTGCAACTGCTGTAGATGCGGCCACAGAGCCAACACCTGCGTAGTGGCAGGTAGCATCAGTAATGGCAAGATCACCATGGGTAGCTGGCAGTAGCTCCACAGCTACGGGTCCGGAACCCAACACAGCGCCTAAACGGCCTAAACCGCACCGTCTACACTAAACCTCGCACTCCAACCAAACCGCTTCATTCCCGAGCCTGTCTCCATTGCCCCCGGCGCTCGCATGCTCTCATCACAGCACTGCAGCCAACTGCATCGGCCTTTGGAACCCACTGGCACATCCGAGACTCCAGCGAAGACAGAAGGCCTATGGGCATAGACGAGCCTCATACCTGAGGGACATCATCGACGAGAAGACGGACAGCGAGTGCTCCTGCTTTGCGGAGGGCACCGTTGCATCTTCAGGAACCCAAGATAGCCCGAGACCCGTCCCAAATGCTGGCCGCAGAGAACGCATCAATGAGCAAGCACCGAGCAACAGCACCAGGTTGGCCAACAGAGGCTTCGAGCAAACGATAAAGGTGCAGCGCTGATTCCTGAAAGTGGAGGTCAAGCTGCCCAACTGCATTCCGAATTCATTCTTAACTTAACCGATGCCCATCTTTGCATGAGACTGCAGCGATGCTGGCAAGGCTCCCAGCGACTTGACTTTTCGCATGCACTCATCGTGGCCGTGCAACACATTTTGTTGAGCTCGAGATGCCACGTGCCCATGTCCGCGAAGACTTGCAGAGCCTGGTCCTGAGACTAGGAATCGCCTAATTCTGGGTGGGAGAAGCTGCGTAAGAAGTTCGCACGTGCGCACTCCAGAAAGGCAATTGGTTTGTGTTGGGCGTTTGGTCCACAGTTCAGAAGAAACTACTACAGGATCACGAAAAACCTAAGCTCCACTGCTTCCTGTCTTCCTGTCCTGACTAGTTTTACCCTCACTACTCTCAGCTATTACTGCCATAATAGGAGTATTGAGATTGCTGCTATTTCAATTCTTGTGATTCCTACAATGATTGTTCTTAGCGTCCGTCGAGGACGACGACGACGACGACTACTACGACTGCTGCTGCTACTTTTTGTACTTCTAGTATTTTACTTCTAGTATCTTCTAGTATTGCTGGGCTTATTATTCCCATTGTTCCGATCAGTATTACGAGTGCTCTATGCATTAAGCCTACGATAATTCGGATTATTGCTATTATTGTTGCTATTTGAATAACTAATGATATTGAAGGTATAATAACAAGAATAGTCGCAATAACAGTAGCAGCAATAATGTTAACAAAATCGATATTTACGCTTTTTCGCAGCAGCAACAACAACAACAATGACAATAGTGGTCGTAGAAATAGTAAGAATACCAATACTAATAATGAAAAATTGGTACTAAAACGGCTGCTGTTATTAATTATCATGATGGCGGTCATTATATTTCCTGTTACTGTTGTTTAGTATGATTATTATTGATATTACTAACATTATGATCACTGCTGTGCGAGAGGCAAAAATATTGCAATTATTATTGTTATTATCATTATTCGTACGTATTACAGTAGTTTTCGTTCATCTGAAAACCCTGCTTTTCATTTCTTTATTAGTGTTACCATGCTTATTCGCATTCTTGTTGTTATTGACATTATTACTATCAGCACAGGTAAGATTATTCACATTATTATGGCAGCGGAGATCCCGAACTGTGAAAGACCACACCAGAAGCAGGTCATGGTGACCAGGACATCCCGACCACTGTCACATGCAAAGAGGCTTCAACTGCTTAGGATAACACACGTCGCAACTAGTTGTCATCTGTGTTTTTCACATCTACGCCATGTTTCCACCCCCCGAAGGACGACCACGCCGACATGATGACAACGACCAGAGACCACCAAGACACCAGGAGACCAGCAGAAGACCACCAGGAGCCAACACCAGGACATTGCCGAAATGCTTTCCCCAAAGTACTGGTGCATTCAAACCACGCCTGGGATGCCTTCCTCCATGTGGTGGCAGGCTTCACACTTAGGCATCCATCGCGCAGCC